GTTTCCTACGTTTAATCGGCCCATGTCTCAGCCACAATATTTTGAGGCCAATATTATTTACGAACCCAGTTAAACTTATTTACTAGCCTATTTCAGCGTGCTAATTATTATATTTAGGCGACTTGTTGTAGACTGGCATACACGGTACCCACGCTGTTCTAATAGAGACAATGGGTCGTGTCTCATACTGTATTATTTGTTATATTTTTATTCATTATTTTCACTTGACTCGCATAAATGATTTTGTTCGAAGAACATATATATGCCGTTGTACTTCGCAGCACTTCACTTGTAATTTGCAATTTCTAGTCTTGAAGAATATTTAGCAGGGATTCAGAAGACGATGTGAAATAAAACATTGACCAACTCACTTGAAAAGTGACCCTAGGTCAATATTTTGCTGTAAAATGTTAATTTCACTGTAAAATTCTCACACCCGGTCCTTATTTTGCTCGAATAAAACACAGGTCCAAAATTACAGAACATAATTTGGACCAGAATTATAATATGGAAGGGGGGGGGGGGGGGGTCAGTGAAATATATTATTATATTTATGGATTATAGTTATGGATACCAATGACATGGTTTATGCATTTAAATATAAATTTCTTTATGTTGCAAATAAACATTCCACTATTAAAAAAAAATAAAAAAAAATAAAAATAAATAAACTAGTGAGACAAAAAAAAACCCCGGCTCACTGGAATCCATAAAATCCATGAAAAAAGGGGATGTGATGTCGAAAGCAAAAACCTTAAGCCAAGGATCCAGTAATCCTTGTCATGACTTTCATAAACCTCAAAAATAAAATTAACAACCTGGAGCAAAAACGTAAGATATTATAATATTAAAAGAGAAATAAATGGTTATTTTAAACTTGAAACTTGAAACAATTAAACAAATGGTTTGGAAATTTGTACCAGGATTCCAAATAAATTGCATTCAAATATTAAAAACGACATCCATAGGCCTACTAACAGAAAAGATATAAATGTGTAAATAGTAATAATAATAATAATAATAATAATAATAATTATTATTATTATTATTATTATTATAGGCCTATTTATTATTATTATTATTATTATTATATTATAGAATACCGTATGCGCTTAATATAACATTATTATTATTATTATTATTATTATTATTTATTATTATTATTATCATTATTATTAACATTATTATTGTAAATATGTCCCTTTTTAATTGGAATTTTTAAAATGGCTAGGATTATTACGGTCCTGTGTAAAGGTGGTAATCAAGAAGATGAAGGCCTAGCCAGCTATAGGC